AAAGAAACTTTAATTAGATGGAAGGTTACATCACACATTGTCTACTTTGTTCTAGTGAAAAGGATCAACATTTGCTTCACTGTGCAGCTTTTGATATTAAAGCACCAAGTTCTGTTTATTTTAACTGGTCGCTCCTTGGCAGAAAGAGTGGACTAAAAACAGTTCCATATATTAGAATGCTTCATTCCCCATATTCCAGAATGCTTCATTCATTCTATTTCTGAAAAAAAGGATCATTATATAGAACTGAGGGTAGAAAATTCTGAAAGAGGAACGGTTATGGTTAGATTTGGGCATGTGTCCCATTACTGAGTATGGGAGAGAAAAACTTTTACCTTTTGGCTAATTACTACTTTTTTAAAAAGCCAAAAAAAGCTATTTTTATAATTAGTAGTGAAATCGCTCCAGTATATAATAGTTATAAAGAAAAGTCTTAATTTGGGTTGCTGGTGAAATGGTTGCTTTATATAACTTTTCAGGCATTCCAAGTAAGATTTTCTTCCTGAAACACTGTGTTCGCAACCAGCCTTAGTCTTCTGTTTTGTTGTTGTTATTCAGAGTGGCATGTTTCTGTTTTCTGGTTTCTGGAAGAGAAAGGATTAAGCAATTAAAACATTACTTTGTTCTAGTTTTGGTGTCTTTCTATTTTTGAGACATTTTGGACCTGGTGATTATCTACTGTGCCTTTTATAAAGATTATTGGTGATTTAATATATATGTTAGCTAAAGTCCAATCTTCCAGTTTGGCAAAAATAAACCTTAAAGTTTATTTTTTTACTTATTCCTCATTTCTACTTGTCCATTTAAAAGCTGCATCTGTGCTATATAAAAAATAGAGAATTTAATTGTTGATTGTATTCCTTGCCCAAGAAGAATTTATGCCAGTCACCACCGCTAAAGTCTTAAAAACTATACAGCTTCCAGGCTTATGAAAGTTAAGTCTTCCTTTTATTGGCTTTTTAAAGTTTCTAAATGTATCATTTAGAAATAAATAATTAGGTATTGGGTCCTCTCTAGTTGAGACATGTGAATTTGAATGTGATTATACATTAAAAGCATAGTATAAATTAGCTCTTGTACCTTACATTACTTCCTTTTTTATTAAAAAAAAAGACCATACCTTCAACTTCTATTGATCAGATTATCAGGAATAACCAAACATGATTCAAAGGGGCTAAAGGTTATATAGTATCAAGCTGGTCATCGTGTACAGCTTGCTTGCTTGCTTGAATCTGTTACTTCCCACAGTACTTTGAAGTAGTTTCCAAGTACATTTAAAGTTCTATGTGTTTATAGAACACCACTTCCTACAGCCTAATTTTAGCTTGTGTTTACACACGCATATACACAGTATTTGTGCATAAATCTATAAATAGTGTAATGGAAGTTGATTGTCTTTTGTTCATGTTACTTGAATTCTCAATAAGGCAAACAAACCAGAGGAGCTGTATTTAAGAGTGCCCGGGTATACAAATAGCTTTGTTGTGAAGTAGGGGTAATAGCAGTGAGATATTACTAGAATTATATTAGCCATAATAAAAAATACTAGAATGTACTCTCAGTCGTATTGATGAAAATACTTATTAAAACCAGTATTGGTGAGATACTACTGGATTGTACTACCGGTTGGCAGAATAACATTTGTGGACATTATACACACAGACAACTGATTAGCTTTTTTTTTTAATGCCTCTTTAATGTTTTGTGCCACATGCAAGAGATTTTGGGTTACAGTTTTTGCTATTTAGGATGGAAACAGTGGGTGTATCTTCATAGCTATACAAAAACATGACTTCCATCCAGTGATAGAATGTAGGCACCACATGTAGAATATCCTAGTTTTAGTCGGGTGTTGCTTTTATTTAATAGGAATAGATATAAGTGGTGCAAAAAGATCTCTGCTTTTTTTTACACTTGGAAAGATGATATCAGTCAAGAGCAGATAGATGTGATTTACATGGCTGGATACTTTGACCTGTTGTAAGACAGCGTCTGTTTTGCAGCTGCATTAAGCAAAGATTTGTGGACATAAACTCTGAATGTTTATACATACATGGATGAATGATTCCCCAAGGCATGCTCTTGATTACAAACTTTTTTTAAAAAAATGTGTTACAGGTAGTTCTTATGACCATAATTGAGCCCAACATTTCTGTCCCTAAGTGAGACAGTTGCTAAGCGAGTTTTGCCCCATTCCACAACTTTTCTTGCCACAGTTGTTGAGTGATTCACTGCACTTGTTAAGTAAGGAACACAGCTGTTATTTGAATTTGACTTCCCCATTGATTTTGCTTGTCAGGAAGTTGCAAACGGTGATCATGTGATCCCAGGACACTGCAGTCATCAAAAATATGAGCCTCTGAATTTTGTTCACAGGACCATGGGGATGCTACAATGGTTGTAAGTGTCAAAACAGTCACAAGACAATTTTTCAGTGCGGTTGTAACTTCAAATGGTCAAATGGTTGTAAGTTGAGGTCTAACTGTATCTTGTTCTATAATGTTCTATATCAGGGGTGTCAAACTCGATTTCATTGAGGGCCACATCAGGGTTATGTTTAACCTGGGGGGGGGCGGGGTAGGTGTGGCCAGTTCAATATCACTCGTGTCGGGGGCGCCTGTGGTGACCTGAGCACTCTGCCAGCGAAAATTGGCTCCCGAGTTCCGTTTCCAGCTGCGGTGGCCTCCTGCAACCCTCTGCCAGAGAAAATGGCCTCTGTTTTTGTTGGCAGACGGTTGCAGGAGGCCATCACAGCCAGAAACAGCTAGGGATCCAATTTCTACTGGCAGAGGCAACATGGGCCAGTTCTTCACTGTTTCCAGGATGGCCCCGTCAGCCAGATTTAAGCACCCCATGGGTTGTGCCAGCCCACAGGCCTTGAGTTTGACACCGCTATTATATAGGTATATTTATAGAGCACCACTTCCTACAGCTTTTATCTTGTTCCATAATCCTGGAAAGACTGTAAGGTTTTAATATTTTAATAAACCTGATAGGAAGAACTTGACATTTAATAGTTCACATGAGGAGAATGCAAAATTTAGCAGATTCAGTTCTCCTCACATTGGACTGTGAGTGCATAGATACTAAGAACATTAATTTGAATCTATGTTTGATGGGGCAGGGGGAGAGAATGGGACATTTTTAGCAGTAGGAAAAAGCAAAATAAGGCTAAGACATTTACCAAACAAATTGCACTTGTTATAGATCCAGTTATAGATCAGAGTGTAAAGCTATTAATTGTTGCATAACCCACAAGCCATGCATACAAACCACAGTGACTAAATTCATTTAATCCAAAACTAACCCAAGAAGAAACAAGCCACATTATGCCTTGGCACAGTGTGTGAGCCCAGCTGCTTTATATGTTGCAATGTACTTTATGCACTTTTGCTGCTGCAGTTTAAAGGAAAAAAAAAAAAACCAAAATCGGGGGGGGGGGGGGGGGAGGCTTGTATGTCCTGAGCAAAAGTAGACAGTCGTACTAATAATGATGCCTGATAGATATCTGTTTCTCTTGCTAAGAGGATAATTTGTACATACACTTTTAAAAATTCCTTTCTAATTGCTATGGTCAATAACATTTTAGCATGTGTGTTATGTTTGTGTGCTTCATCATATTTTCATTTTTGTTCATTATGATTCATCACAATATTATTTTAAATTCTCCTCTAAGTTGCTCTGCTTTTTGTTAACCGCCCTTGTGTTCTCTCTTTTTGCCGCAAACTTAAATACTGGAAATTGTTTGTGACCTGCCAGAGTTTTACTGAAGTGCATGGGATTAACATGAACCAGTTTAATCCTCTCCATACAAGGGGCCAGAATTGTAATAACCAGGATACATCTTCTATTGTTCTGACAGCTCTGCTGATTGAAAGATTAGCATATTAAGGATTATTTACTTGTTCAACCTGATATCCAGTTTACAGCAGTCCCTCCTTCAGTATTATTCACAAACGGGACTCCAGTGATGAGACTATGATGTGAGATTAGGGCATCAGATTTTGAGAATCAAAATGTAAGGCCTATATAAATCCTGGCACCGGTTTCACAAGATGCAGAGATAATCCCAAACTTGGATGCTCTAAAAAGAAATGATGGAACAAATTTATGGAAAAAGCTATTTTGGGTACATGTGATGATGGTTAACAAAACATAAATTCATTTCTGATACTGTGCAATGAATTCTCAGTAATATTCCACACACAAATAATCATTTGGAAAAAGCAATACTGCCACCTAAAAAATTTGCTTTCAATTTTTTTCAAATCCATTCAACCTGCTGCTAAAAGTCTGATCGGGTGTTCAAACCAGCAGTGCTGACTTTTGAGCCAAGTCAAACTTAATGAAGTACTGAATAAAATTCAAAGTTTTCAATTTCAATTTTATTTCAGAAATAAAGGAGTTTTTTTATGGCCGCTATTCACAAAATCAGATTCTCAGAAGTCATAGCAAAATACATTTAGTCTGCACCTTTCCCTTTCCTAAAATTCTTCACTATTGTACACAAATGTTACTGTCTACTTCTGTCCATTTTCCCATCGTTATCTGCAACTTCTTTAAAAAATATTGAACATCCATTTACAGTATATTTAACACAGTTCTCCAAATTTTTCACGTCGACATGCTCCAAGACATATTATGAATCTCTATCTATCTATCTATCTATCTATCTATCTATCTATCTATCTATCTATCTATCTATCTATCTATCTATCTATCTCATCCATCCAGCTGTCCATCATCCATCCAGTTGTCTGTGTGTCTGTCCGTCCACCCACCCATCCATCCACTCCCCCCCCTCGAACTTTAGAACAGAACTGAAGCAGCTTCTGGGATGAGAAGCGAAACGTCTTCAAGCAAAAAGCAAACTCCAGCCGCCTTTTTTTGGGGGGGGGGAAGTACCCTCCCCCCATCCCCGACACCCAGCTCAAAGGCCGCGCCGTCCCCGCCGCGCCGTTGTCCGGAAGCGAGATGCCCGTCTCCAGGAAGTGATGTCATTTAGGGCACCTCCTCCTCCTCCTCCCCCCCTCCTACCGGTGATGGAGGAAGAGGAGGCCGCGGAGGGGAAGATGAAGCAGTTCCACGGTGCTGTGGCGGTGGGGGTCGGCGGTTCCCTTGGGGCGGCGCTGGATCCGGAACGCAGCCGCTTCCCTTACTGCGTCGTGTGGACGCCCATCCCCGTTCTCACGTGAGTCGGGGGCGGCGCAGGGCTGAAGAGGGGATCCCACGGCGAGCAGGTGTTGGGGACGATGGGTCGGGGAGTCGACAGTTCCTGCTGCTTTTTTGCAGGAGACCCCGGCGCGGTCTTCCTCTCTCTCGCGCGCGCGCGCCCCCGTCCAACCGGTTCGTAAACAAGGTGGGGGAAATCTCGCCCGCTCCTCTCATGGTTGCTATTGTTTTGTGTGTTTAATTGGTTGTGTGGTTGTGTGGTTGTGCAAGCCCAGGCTCTTCCGGGGGGAGGTGTTGGTGCTTCGGTTGCAGCATGAACATGTGATGGGACTCATGGGGTGGGGGGATGAGTCTGCCTACCGAGATGAGGTGGACCGGTTGCTTTGGTGGTGTGGAGACAATAACTTGGTCCTCAACACCAATAAGACCAAGGAGATTATAATGGATTATAGAAGGAAAAAATCAGACATCCAGCCCTTGTTTATCAATGGAGACCGAGTGGAGCAAGTGGCCAGTTTTAAGTTTCTGGGTGTTACCCTAAAAGAGGACCTGACCTGGGGGTGCCCACATTGCAGCCCTGGTCAAAAGGGCCCAGCAGAGATTATACTACCTGAGACTTCTCAGAAAACAACTGAATGAAAAAATGCTGGTGACCTTCTACTGCTGCACCATAGAGAGCATTTTAACTTACTGCACCTCTGTATGGTTTGCCAATTGCACAGGGGCAGATAGGAAAGCACTCCAGAGGGTTCACATCATTGTCCAGAAGATCATGGGTTGCCCTCTCCCCTCTTTGGAAGAGCTTTATAGCTCCTGTTGCCTTAAGAAAGTTCAAAACATTCTCAAAGATCCATCTCATCCTGGGAACCCCCCCCCCTTTTTTTTTTTTGAACTATTACCATCTGGCAGACGGTACAGAATATTAAAAACAAGGACAAATAGGCTGAAAAACAGCTTCTCTCCCAGGGCAGTAGTTCTTTTGAATTATACTATATAGTGCAGTGTTGGTGCGGTGTCAGGGGTATTCGGTTCACTGTGTGGAATGTGAAGGGTGTGTGTTTGTGTTTATTTCCATGGTCATGATGTGCACTGAAGATGGTGTTTGATTTCGTTGTATGAGATGCAATGACAATAAACTAAACTAAACATTTCTGCAGTGTGGTTTGCTCTCCAAGCTTGTTTTCAGTTTAGTTTCTGAACGTTACCAATCTAGGTAACATCACCAGCAGGATTTTCTTGTCCTGTTCCTCTTTAGTTTATACAGATATGACAGTCCTCGATATGACAGTTCGTTTAGTGACCAGAGTTAACAGTGGCACAGAAAAAAGTGACTTATAACTGCTTTTCCAACTTGGACCTGAGAAGATGGATTTGTTTTCTTCCATCCAGTTCTTCTTTTACACACACATACACACACACACACGGCTAATTGACTAAGGAATTAAATTTAGATTTGGAAAACCGTAGAAAGTCTTAAGGGCTCCCTCTCTCAGAGCTACGTTTTATTTAACTTCTTTTGATTTTTTTTGTCTGTTTTTGGTTCTATCCAGTGTGACCATGGACAGCTGGTTCTACAGATTCCTGAAAATAGCTTTTTTTTCAATGTGAGGATTGATGCTTTTCTTCTTTCTACAGATGGCTCTTCCCAATCATTGGCCACATGGGCATTTGCACTTCTGCAGGCGTCATCCGAGATTTTGCAGGGCCTTACTATGTCTCTGTAAGTAGAAGTTTGTTACTCTACAGCAAGGTTTTCCATCATTGACAAGTTTTAAGAGTTGTGGACTTCAACTCCCAGAATTCCCTAGTTGGCACCCTGAAGTTCATAGATCTTCAAGCTGCCAAGGTTGAGATACCCTGTTCTAGATGATAAATTACAAAGATTTAAACTCAGCCATTTTCAGCTTAGTACCTCTGGATGTATGGGAGTACAACTCTTCAACATTCTCACCTGACAGTTGTGGAGGACACCAGAGAGGGAGGAATCTTAAGTCCTCACCCAGGGAAGATTAAAGAAGTTAATTGTGTCTTGTTTCTCAGCACCAAGACAAATTGGGATTTGGAATTTTTGTTTGAGTTTTGACACTGCATATTGTTTTAACTCTTGCAGTTGATAAACTATACTTTATGATTCCACCAAGTATAGTGTATTCAGTAAACTATGGTTAAACAGTAGTTCAGTGTGATATACATGGTCAATATAAACTCAGTACAGCAGCTAATTTTGGAAGACATAAGCAGAATAATGTTATCACAAGTACAGTTGATTTGATAACTGAAATGTGCTTTTTTTCCTCTCTCTTCCCTATCTTTAGGAAGACAACATGGCTTTTGGAAAGCCTGTGAAGTAAGTGTTATTTCCCCCTCCACATTTTAATTTGCAAATGTATTTTTGTGGCTGAAACAGAACAATAGATACCATATATCTGTAATAGGTTATAGGATAATAAATAATAGAATAATAATAAATAATAGGATAATAAAAACAAGGACAAATAGGCTGAAAAACAGCTTCTATCCCAGGGCAGTAACTATACTGAATTCTACTGTATAGTGCAATATTAATGCAATAACAGGTTTCAATTCAATTGTACAGAATGCAAAGGATGTGTGTTTGTGTTTTATTTTTATAATTATAATGCACATTGAAGATAGCATTTAATTTCGTTGTACGAGGTGCAATGATAGTAAATGAAACTAAAATATTCCAGTTAGGAAGACAAAAACAACTAGATTACAGTTGGCTTTTGGAGTGTACACCAGTAAGGCAGCGTAGCATTAAACCTTTTTGTATTCACAATCATCTGAGCTTCTGTGGTTACCTGTACTTCGTGATCTCAAGTGTCTCTTCTGTCTATCCAAATGTTGGCTCTTCTCTTGTATTAGCCCTGCCTGCCTGCTTGCATCCATTCTTTTGTGTGGACCAAAACAATGCAGATTTTAAAGTACCATAAATTGTCACAAAAGAAGAGGAAATGAACAGTAGCATTCTGTGCGCATAAACTCAGAAATAATCTTGAGTTTGCTCATGCTTCTAGGGAATTTGGGTTCTAGGGAACCTATTAGATTAAAAAAAATATTTAAGGGGTTGCCTCTAACAACCAGGCTCTGTGATTTAAAATGGTAAAAGCAGTTGAAGGATACTGTTTCAGACAACCAATATAAATATCATAGTGTTCTGCTATTATATACAGCTATTTCATGTTTAGCTTACTCAGTGTATGCCTGACATCCTCCTAAATTGTAATTTAGTAGTTTAAATTGTTGTCAGTTGCTGTCTTAAGAAATGTGAGTCTTTATGTTGCAGTGCTTTGTTTTTCATTCTCTGTCTCTGGGTATTACTGAAGGGGAAAAAGCAATGTATGATACAGCGAAGATAATGCAGCAAAACAAAAAATGCATATACCAGGTAGAGCATGTTAAGGAGCAAAAATGTCAATTTACAAAACTGGTAGGCTTTTGTGTGTGTGTGTGTGTGTGTGTGTGTGTGTGTGTGAATATAGTACAAGATGGGTGTTAATACAATTATAGGCACAAAGAACAGCAAGGGACATACTATATTAACTATGTTTCCTGTTGATGGATTTTGATTAAGGTAATTACTCAAGTTATCTTGGCAAGATCCTTAATTCAGTGAAAACTCTGCACTCAGCTTCTGAGATTTCATAAGCCTTGAACCATCCTTCTTTAAGCTTCATTTGCAGATCTAAGGATTAAAAATACATATTCAGTAATATTTCAGCAGATGTTCAACTAGATTCTTAGCGATACCTTCACCAGTCACGAAAGTATGCCATGAACTAAGAATTACAACCACAGTTGAGCCCAAAATTTCTGTTGCTAAGCGAGACAAGTGAATTTTGCTCCATTTTATGACCTTTCTTGCCATAGTTGTTAAGTGAATCCCTGCAGTTAAATTAGTAACCCTATGGCTAAGTGAATCCAGCTTCCCCATTGAACTTTGCTTGTCAGAAGGTCACCAAAGGTGATCGCAAACGTCATCAGTACATGCCAGTAGCTAAGTGTCCAAACTTCGATCCCATGACTATGGGGAGGCTGCAACGGTTGTAACTGTGAAAGCCACTCATAAGTCCCTTTTCGCAGTGCCGTTGTATCTTTGAATGGTCACTAAACAAATGGTTGTAAGCTGAGGACTACCTGTATTTGGAATTGTGTTATTTGAATACTTCTGACCTAGGCTTCCCAAGATCATGAAGCCAACTCCTCGTCCTGATAAAACCCCTTTTATTTAGGTTAAAGTGAATTCCTCTCCAGCAAAGTCCTGGCAAACAGTCTTTCATGAGATTTCACAACTACAGACCTTTATCAGGCTTGGAGAGTTGCCAGGCTGATATCTTCCAAACGCCACACTGTAGCAGCAATTACTCGGCAAGAAGTCAGGAACAGATCTTCACCCTAATGAATTGAACTAATCGTCTCCTGCAAACACCACTCCCCTTTCGCTCCTCTTTATTCCCTATGGGAGGGGCCATTCACAGTCCACCTGTGCCCTTGTTCCCAAGTCGACCCTGGTTCCTTAACTGTTCCCTTCTCCTGGCAGCTCTGTGCATGCGCACACTGGGAACAGGCTCCAGCTGTTCTTCTGCCCCACTGATCTCCGACTCAGAAGGCAGCTGATAACGGTCAGACAGCCCTGGCCCCATCTCTGCCTCTGACACAGAACCCTCGTCAGAGCCTTCCCCAGACTCCAGGACTGGCCCATGTTCCTCCCCAACCTCCTCACTGTCCAAGTCTGACACAACAATACTTTAGTGACTTTTTGAAAGGTGAGGTGTTCCATTTGATGAAAGTGGGGAAATAATTTTGATTTGCCCTTTTCCCCTTCTGTCAGATACTGGAAGCTGGATCCCAACAAAGTCTATTCCTGTGGCCCCAGTGCTTGGGATACAGCTGTAAATGATGCCTCTGAGGAATATAAGCACCGAATGGTGAGTAAAGTGCAGTTTTCAGTTTAAGTTTGTGGACGTCTTCTCTATCCCAGTACTGTTTATGCCTAGAGAAGATATTTGAAGTAGAAATACCTTCAATTGTCCATTTCTCTCTCTCTCTCATAGCATAACCTCTGTTGTGACAATTGCCATTCTCATGTAGCTCTAGCCTTAAATCTCATGCGATACGACAACAGTACTTCCTGGAATATGATCAAACTTTGTTTTTGCTCCTTGCTGTATGGAAAGTATGTAAGGTGAGTAGAAAACTCCGTTGCTTTTGTGGTCTTTGAGTAAAAAAGAGAGAGAAAACATTTTAATCAAGGGCTGGGTTTTCCTTAAACATCTCATGTATGTAATATGCAGATAATTTTTGCTTCCCTTGTACCTAGATGCTTTAGTTTAGATCCATTGATGCTTGTGGTGTAGAATTTTTTTCCCCATTGCAAATTATTTGTACAACCCCAAGGTTGCAAGTCCTTGTATTGAATGTCTATTCTTGTACTGCTATACGTATAGGATTAGCAGACACAGTCCAGTAGGAACTTCTGCATGGTTTTTTTTTAAAGCCTCTAATGCTTCTCTATTTGCATAATTTATTCTTATAGTAATGTGGAAAGACAGAAGGCTACACAAAACCAAGTGCAATTGACATTTTTTGTCTTCTGAGATTGCTTACACCAGGGGTCTCCAACCTTGACCATTTTAAGACTTGTGGACTTCAGGAACTCTGGGAGTTGAAGTCCACAAGTCTTTAAGTGGCCAAGGTTGGAGACCCCTGGCTTACACTGTTATGTCAGTAACCTTAAGGGCTAGTAACTTCACTGCTTTTTAAGAGCTGAAATTCTCAGGTTGCTGAAAGCTATTTCAGTGTCTGGTCTTAAGTGTTTGCAGATGCATTGTGCTAGCTCATTATGATGTAGAAAATAGTGCCATTAGAAGGAAGAAATAAGTCTCTTTTCACAAAATAGCATTTCTCAACCCATTGACTTGTTGACCCGGATAGTTATCATTCCAGAAATTATAACTATTATTTAATATTAATATTTAATTTAATACTGTTCGTGTATTAAATAGTATTACATAGCTTTACATTGTGCTACTAAATAGTCTGTGAAAGAGTACAGTCCTGTCAAAAATGCAGTGACGACAACTGTCAGGCTTGTAAAGTAGTAATCATTGTCTTAATAAAATTCTCAACTCCTCTAGCTAGAATATAATTTTTTTTTTAAAAAAAAGCATTCTGGGAGCTTATATCAAATATCAGAGTGCAAAAGACATTGCATACTTATTTCTTTGAAAGGTCCATTTCCACTTTGTTGAAATATTCATAATTTTATCAGTGAAATTGACAGATGGCAGAATATCATTTGATTATAAAATAACAGGGAGTCAAAAAACCTTGGAAATCTACTGTACATCACCCAGATTGTGCATCTGTGCGGTTACAGCTCTTAATATGCCATGTACTTTATACTATCTATATGCCAGTTAAAGTAGACGAATGAAGGATTAATTGTTATTACTTATGGACCATGAGTGTGAATGTTTCTTTGCCAGCATTTCTTCCAAAGACTTAGCAAATGAAACTTGGCAGAGATAGAAAAGTAGGCAGAAACAGGGCTCCACCAGGATTATTCAGTTAGATAGTGCTTAGGTTTGGTTGCAGAAAGAGATATAGACCTAATGCAGGGGTGTCCAACCGTGACAACTTTAAGATTTGTGGACTTCAACTCCCAGAATTCTTCTGCCAGTTATGGGAATTGAGATCTGCAGCTCTCAAAGTTGCCAAGGTTGGACACCCTGGCTTAATATGTCCCTTTCCTTTCCTTTGCTCTGTTCTGCTTATTCTCAGCCAGCTGCCTTCTCTTTCTATCCCTGGTCCTCTGTGGCTGCACTTCAGTGAGTTATGGGCTCCTCTCCCATTTGTGTTTCTGAAATCTCTTTTTTTCCCCCTCTCTTCTACAGCATAGGAGGCTTTGTGAAGACTTGGCTTCCCTTCTTCCTCTTTTTGGGGATTATCCTGATCGTCATCTTGACTGTTCACTTGCGGTGATGGATGGCATTGGTGTGTCTGCCCACCCACCCACTCTCCCTCCCCTTGTCCCCTTTGAAGTCAAGCAATGGAAACCCTGGTTTTTTCAACCCAGGAAGGCACGGAGAGCTGCATGGCGTGGAAGCCCTAAAGGGAAAAAAAAAGGAAACAGAACTCCATTTGTATTTTGTAATAACAACTCGGCTGTTATCCCCTGGGATTCTTTGCTTCGATGAGGATGGTTTCTTTCAACCTACTTGCCTCGGAACGTTTTGGGGTTGGGGAAGGTGGGAGACTCTTGCATTGCAACTTCTCCCCAAAACTCCTTTATGACCAAAGGTTCCCACGTGGAAATCCCAAATAGGGTTTGGGTCAATAAGACAATGAATGGAGGGTTTCATTAACCTTGGGTGAGGTGTCTTAAGGAGGGGGTAACTTTCTCTGATCTCCCCCCCCCCGGGGGGATGATTAATGGGCACTAAATGAAAGGTGGCTATCTGTGGCCACCACCCTGGGATGGGGTAATATTTGTTTGCACTGAATGACAGGATTTCCAGTGATTATGGTGGCCTCAAAATGGCAGAATGCAGGGCTTTGCGTGAGAGGAGGTTAATTTTAAGTTTCTTCTGCTGCAGACAGGAGTTTAACTAAGGTCGAATGTTGTTTTCCTCTTACCCACCACACAGAAAGTCTGTCTCTTTGTTTGTATGTGTCTTAAAAGTCTAGTCTCACAGGAACCAGCCTTCGAAAGGCAGTTGATCCCAATGGGTCTTCGTTACTTTCTTGTCAGCTTATAAACTGCCCCTTGTCACAGACCCACTAAAGAATGTAAGCTGCTGTCTTTGAGGAGCTGGGCTCGAGAATTCTGGTAAGACTTCCTCGTTCCTTTGATAGACTTATAGAATGGGTTCTTCATCTATTATACTGTGCCTTAGAAGTCACTAGAAACGTAACCCGCAGCCATTAAAGCGATTCATCTTTTATAGCGAGGGTTGGATGCTAGAAGCCATACGTGCGTCATGTCTGCTGTTAGGAAACATGAATCATTCCTTTAGGGCTCAGCTTTTTCCCTGCTGTGGCCAGGTATCGGAAGAGCAAATAGCTGCTCAGATGAATTTTTAATTTAATTCAGGCTTATGGCCTTCCTTGCCTGTTGTGTGGGAAAAAAGCGGGGGAGCACACCCTCTTCTTTTTTAACCGAAGGTGACCTAAAAAAGCAAAAAACAAAACCCCAACCCGCCGCGCTCTCCTTTCATTTCCACCCTTCCTTATTCCCTTGCTAGCCTTCCTCCTTTTGTTCCTGCAGGCAGTGCCAAAGATGCGTGCTGTGTACAAGAGAGGCACCTGTGGCTTAGCAGGTCTTGGGGGTCTTCATTGCATTCAGCCATTTCAAGCGTGAATGATGGCAACTGGAGAAAAACTGATCCATAAGCTGTAGGCTGATTAGAGATCAAAGGTCTTACATCAAAGTGAGACCTTGTGGTGTTCCATCAAGCTATTCCTGGGCTATTTCGCTTACGTCCCAGTAGGGATTCTAGTTCTTATGGAAATAATAGACTGAATTAATAACGCACACATTAGTCAACTTTTTTTTTCCTTTTTATTTTTTTCTCCCCCCCCTCTCACCGTGACTTGCCAAAAAAGAAAAAAAGCTCCAGGAAACCTAAGCTTTTCCCAGACCTGGAACTTAAAAAGCCAATTGTCCTTCTATCATAGCACTGATCTAAGCTCATCTTTTCAATCAAAACAGAAAATGCTTTTCTGACATCATATGACTGTACAAGCATTAGCAAAATGTGAAGCTTGCTGGAGGAGCCAAAAAAAAAAAATCACAGAGGGTAACTGTGATTATTTTTTCTCTTGTTCTCAACATCTCTTCCTTCCCCTCCCTTTCCAATAATTTGGTCCTTACAGGATTTTTTTTTAAAAAGCCTATATTTGTGAACCTACCGATGAATGATCAGTAGGGAGGCTCAGAGGAAAGGGTGAAGTGAGGCGGGGGAGACTTAAAGCTATGGAAGAGCTAAAGCTGCAGATTCTGCTTGCCTTGCTATTTTGCTCACTTGACAAGCAGAGATTTCCTGGCCAGTAGAACTATGATTGGAAGTAGTTTCTCTGTTACAGATTGCTAATACTTCTAACAACTGAGCCACACCCTTTATGGTAAAGCAGGTTAGAGGTGCCTTTACCCTACATTATATTTGCAAATCTGCTTTATTGGGGTTCCAGAGATTGGGGGGAAGCCAAAAATAAGTTTGCAGGACCTTGGAACAAATGTGGCATAAGCAAGGCAGGTAGGTAGTGGAGTGCACACGTTGTAGTAGTCCGTTGCAGTTTCTAGCCTTTGCACAAACATATCTCGAATATTTTAGCCAAACCTACGTTGTTTCCATCTTGTTTAACAGCCGCATGAAAAGATTCATCTTTCAGAATCTACATTAATGACTTCAGTTCTTACTGTGTTTTAAAATCTTCTATGGGAAGCACTTCTGGGTCGAAGTCATAAAGCTGATGAAGCTGCTTGGATGAGCAGCAAAACGTCTCAAAAAAAATTTAACAAACAAAAAAAAACTAACAAAAAAAATTAGTCCAGTTTCCATACACCTTTGCTTGGATGGCCGAGAATCTTCATTAACACACTTCTGGGTAGGAATTTTGATGGTTTAAATCTTGATTGGAGCCTGTCTGGCCATGTTTGCAGACAGTCCCCTGACTAGCTTTCATTGTGGGGACAAAAAGAAAAAAATACTACTACTTGGTTGAGTAGGTGTAGTGAGAAACCCTGTATGTCAGGATGGGCAACTTATTTTCCCAAGGGGCCATGTGAGAAATTGGGACTGTTGTGGAACATGGAACCAGTAGGACCAAGACATTACTGCGAAAGTGCGTAGGCATGCAGGCACATACATAAATTGGAAAAAAAGTCACCTTCAAAATAAAAGTGATGCAGTTGTATTGTAAGCTTGGCCTACGCTTATTTACATTTGATTTCTAATTTCCAGCAATCACAAGTGAACTGGGCAGGGACAGCCAAAGAGTTGGATGTGCCCCGGGGTGTGGGTGGGGGCGTAAAATGCCCAGATCTCTATATAGTGACATCATCTGTGAATTCTGTATTCTGCATTCACATCTGCCTTGAAGTGTCTTAGTTGTAGGAATTTGGTTAAGTCCAAAGTACTTTCCAAAGTTTTCATTCTTTACTTTTTTCCTTTACATCGTTTCATTGTTGTTACTGCCTTCCATTTTGCCTTTTGTATAGATTTCTCTGTAAAACTCCCATCCATTTGCCCGTTCTTTTGCTGGTGTCTACCTAGATGGTCTTCTGGTCCAGTTGCTTGATTCCTTTGTAAATACCAAAGTCTGCTGCTGTAATTTCATAATCTCAATTATGGTGAAAAATAAATGCATTTCTGTATTCCAGCAAGCTGCAAAGGCTGTTCTTTCTTTTCCTCCAGGAAGAAGAGAAGTTTGCGTTCAGAATGAGCGACTCAAATATATTTTGTGTTAGTGATTTGTAAGTGATTAAGGCACCAGCCTAGAAGCCAGGAGACTGTGAGTTCTAGTCCTGCCTTACACATGAAAGCCAATTGGGTGACTTGGGGCCAGTCACTCTCTCAGTCCAACACACCTCACAAGGTTGTTGTTGTGGGGAAAATAGGAGGCAAAAGGAGCAGTAGGTATGTTTGCCACCCTGAGTTATTTATAAAAATAAGAGCAAGATAAAAATATAAATAAACACATCTGAAATTGAAAGTCAGCTTATACAGTGGTTAAGATATTAGATTCACACTGGGAAGGCCTGAGATTCAAATCCACCCTCAGTTCCGTGGCTGACTTTGGACCATTTTCTCAGTTTAATTCACCTCACAGTGTTGTTGAGGGAAAAGTGAGAGGAAGGGGTACTATGTATTCCGCCTTAAGTCCCAAAGAAAAGGCAAGATAGAAGAACAAGTAAATCCTTTGTACAGAAGTATTGAAAGTGCCACATTAGCTATTCTACTCCTTCTGAAATTGGAGAGTATGATAGAGAAATAGGGTGGGATTTCATTTTTTCTTCCCTCTCCAAAATGGAGACTTTCATCCTCTGGAGCAGGGGTCTCCAACCTTGGCAACTTTAAGACTTGTGGACTCCAACTCCCAGAATTCCTCAGCCAGGAATTCTGGGATTTGAAGTCCACAAGTCTTAAAGTTGTCAAGGTTGGAGACCCCTGCTCCGGAACATATGCAGCCAAACAAATGCCAGAAATTTGAAGAAATCCAAACTACCTTTATAAAGGTAGTCCTTGACTTACAACCACAACTGAGCCCCAAATTTATGTCCCTAAGTGAGCAGTTGCTAAGTGAATTTTGTCCCATTTTACAATCTTCCTTGCCACAGTTGTTAAGTGAATCACCAGAGATGTTAAGTTAGTAACATGGTTGTTTAAGTGACTCAGGCTTCTCCATTGACTCTGCTTGTCAGAAGTCTGCAAAAGGGGATCACATGACCCCAGGACACTGCCATTGTCATAAATATGAGTCAGTTGCCCAGCGTCTGAATTTTGATCATGTGGGATGGTCTTAAGTGTAAAAAGTGGTCAAAGTGTGAAATGGTTTTAAGTGTGAAAAGTGGTCAAAGTCACTTTTTCCAGTGCTGATGTAACTTTGAATGGTTACTAAATGAACTGTTATAAGTCAAGGACTATGCTGCCCCACTCGTTTACATACACACATAAATGTGGTTTAGATAATTTTTTAATGTTCCCCAGCAATTCCCTTCCCCCAACTTTAGAACTGTCCCAAATAAATCCCGCCATAAACAGGCCAAGATTAGTTCACAAGGCAATAACCAACAGTCCATAAAACAACGGAAAAGTCGGAAAAGTCGCTCCAACAATTAAGTCCATCAAACAAACTTAAATCCACCAGGCCAAACTGAAATACACCCACAAGCTCACTCAGAAAGAGTAGTTCAGAGTCTCCAAGCCACAAAGTCAAGCAGGAAGCATGAGGAACAAACACAGCTAGACAAACCCAAACACGTTCCCAGCAATGCCTCCCACCACATGCCTAACCCTAACCCATCAAGACAGGTGCGGCCTCCTGAATAATCCGGCAGATCTCTGTTGCTCTTGTCTCTTCTCTGCCCTGTGTGCTCTCGGATCCACCAAGGAAGGCAGCTCCTCTTCAATGACCGTCAGTCCCTGCATGCTGTCCCCAGCCGAAGGTTCCCATAAATCTCTTTTGACATGCCAGTTCAGAGTCATCAATTAACCCAGTTCCTGACAGGCCAGGGATGAGCTCATCCTCCCTTGAGCCAATCTCCGAGGAAGAATCTGAGGAGTCATCTAAGGGAGATATCACACAGACTATCTGTAAAGAAAATGACTTAGGAAAGGAGAAAACCCCAAACCAATGTGGTTGGGGTTATGCCTGATCATCGGACATGCAGTTTCTTACAGATCAGAGTACAAAAACCAGAGTGAATTGGGCATGGAGATTGCTAAAATAGAGGATAGTTGACTGGTACACCAAAAGGTGGTTCTACACTGCATTATTTTGCTGCAGGTCCCATTTAGGTCTTTAAATTAAGCCATTATTATACATTCGTTCCACTTACCTGCTCTGTTCCGATAATGATAAAGAATTTTTAAACTACTAACTGGTCCAAGGAAAGGTTTTTTTTCCCCCCCTCCATTTTGACCATGTCCTCATTATGTCAACAACTCAACAAGCCTGACAGTCCTGCATGGCAGTCAGTGTTCAGGTGTTGTCTTGAACCAGCAGACACCCACATCGATGGAAGAGAGCGGCCCCTCAGCAAAAGGAGAGTTGACAGCTTTTGTGCTGTTGACAAAGGGAAGTTGTATCCTGGCACACGTCTCTCGTCCTGCCATTGGAACTTCAAAGTTCGTTTGGTGATAACCTGCTTAGAATTAAGTCAAGATGCTGATGATGGAGCTGGGAGTTATTTCTGGGGGACCACAGTGGGATCCATCTTCCTGTAAGAGGTTTTCCTTGAGACTCTACAGCAGAAATAGAAGCTTGCAAGGGACTCTCTTGGGTCTCTTGACCCAAATTAGGTAACATCATCAATGCTAGTATGAGTGTTGTTTGCTGTCAGTTTGGGTATTTTCCCACGTCATTATAGTTGTGCTTTTAAAGTTGGAGCAACGTTTCGGCAGAATCTCATCTGCCATCATCAGGCTTCCTTCCTCAAAGCCTGATGATGGCAGATGAGATTCTGCCGAAATGTTGCTACAACTTTAAAAGCACAACTATAATGACGTGGGAAAATACCCGAACAAAGAAAGCTCAAACTGCCCAAGGAGCTGCTGATCCAGTTCTACAGAGGAATTATTGAGTCTGTCATCTGCACCTCTGGAACTATCTGGTTTGGTTCTGCAACCCAACAGGACAGACACAGACTTCAGAGGATAATTAGGACTGCAGAAAAAACTATTATTACCAACATGCCTTCAGTCGAGGACCTGTATACTGCACGAGTCAAAAAGAGGGCTGTGAAAATATCTACAGACCCCCCACATCCCGAACATATATAGAGCACTGCACACCAGAACAACTAGACACGAGGAGAGTTTTTTCCCCGAAAGCCATCACTCTGCTAAACAATTCCCTCAACACTGTCCAACTATTTACAAAGTCTGCACTACTCTTACTATTAAACTTTTTGTCACCCCTTATCACCCATCCCCTCCCACTTGTGACTGTATGATTGTAACCTTGTCGCTTGTACCCTATTTTTATTGACTGTTTCCTGGTATGATTTGATTGCTTATTGTACCCTATGACTATTATTAAGAGTTGTAACTTATGATTCTTGATTATGTGTTACCTTGGTAGATAATGTATGGCAAAACTATGTTGGAACTCTGATAATTCTGTTCTGCCTGCTTTCAACGCCATGACCGTGGTCTAGATAAAAAAAGGACTAGATGTGACATGATAGCAGCATTCCAGTATTTGAGAGGTTTCCACAAAGCGGAGGGGGTCAACTTATTTACCTAAGCACCTCTAGGCAGGACAAGAAACAATGGATGGAAACTAATCAAGGAGAGAAGCAACCTGGAACTAAGGAGGAACTTCCTGACAGTGAGAACAATTAACCAGTGGAACTACTTGCCTCCAGAAGTTGTAGGTGCTTCATCACTGGAGGTTTTTAAGAAGAGACTGGACAGTTGCTTGTCTGAAATGGCACAGGGTCTCCTGCTTGACTGGGGGTTGGACTAGAAGACCTCCAAGGTCCCTTCCACCTCTATTCTGATTCAAGAATGTCTGTTGGATAGAGAAGCACTGTTTTGCAAGGTTCCAGTCCTTGGGGCTGGAGGGAACTATAATTCAATCTTTAAGTGAAGGGTCTTCAAACTTGGCAAGTTTAAGACTTGTGGACTTCAACTCCCAGAATTCCTGAGCTAACATGACTGGAGGAGGAATTCTGGGAGTTGAAAGACTCCACAAGTCTTAAAGCTGTCAAGTTTGAAGACCCCTGCTTTAAGTCATTGAATTGGTATCCCTTAGCTGTTGTTATGCTATTCAACAGCTGGGTAAAACAGCTGGTGGGCAGTCATTCAGAGCTTTGAATGGTGTCCCGCCAGGGTGTACCCATCTCCCCTCTTTGAATCAGCATTTTGAATCTTGTCTAGTTTTGATGCTGGAATGGATGAGGGAGAAGAAGCTGCAATCAAGCAAGAGGGAGGTGATGCTGGGAAAGCAAAAGCTTGAATGGTGATTTACTTTCCAAAAACAATCAGGTTTGGAAGCATTTTTGGCACCCACTCTCCTTTGCGAGTAAAATCTAACTCTCTGTTGTGGTTAGCTGGCAGCAGGTGCGGACGGCTGAGGAGAGCGAGGACTCAGATAAGGGGCCAGGACCATCAGGGAGTAGACTGCTGCCTTCAGAGATTGTGGGGGCTGGCAGCAGCGATGAGGAGGTTCCCGAGGAGCCTGTGTCAAGTGCGCGTGCATTCAGGGTTGCTCGCAGGAAAGAGCAGCTGCATCAGCACAGGCGATTCAGGAGTAAAGCTGCAAGGTAATGGCCCCTCCTTCAAGAAGATAAAAGCCAGCTGTGAAGCGGACGTTCTTTGTAGGAAGCAAAGACGTTTTGAAACTCGAGTTGCGTGGACATTGCAGTATCTTAAGTTGGTATTTGAAAACTCTTGTGCTGTAAAATATTTCTTATCTGTTATTCTTGGCAGCCTTGCACAGTTTTGGCGAGGCTTGTGCTTATCAAAGTTAACTAGTTTGCAGCAGCTTTTTAACCGGGGATTCGTAAGAATCATTAAAAGGTTTCTGTTCCCTTTGGTTCGTGTTTATTTTATTGGAAAAGGGTTTGGGTCAGAACACTCTCCATTCTGAATGCATTGTCCTCTTGAAATAACTTTTGAAAATCACAAATGTAGCTACAAGGAGTCTCTCTCTCT